GAAACACAGCCATACAAACACAACTGCTTAACGGTAGAAACACGAATGGGACAGAGGTGCCCAAGTAAACGACTTTTGTACAAAATCTCCCTCTGGTAGAAACATATTCGTGTTTCTGACGTAAAGCAGTAGTGTTTGCATGGTTGTGTTTCGGTTTGAACGGCGGGATATCTCAATGAAATTACATAGTACAGAGACGATGTTGCTGTTATGCCCATGGTAGTTTTCATTAATCTTTTTTTACAATATATCACCAAAGAAAATATATAACGCTAAATAATAATATAATTATTATTATTTGGAGATTGGGAAAACAAAATACTACAAGGTAACGCAAGAAAAATGTCTAGATTCAGCACAATACTATGAATCTGGTGGGGCATGTATAGAGTTATTTTTTGAAGGGTATTAAAAAACCCTAAAGTGCCAACCAGTGCGTTTTTTCTCAGGTTGTCTATTATCCGAACTTCTGCATAAAATAATATCGATTCAATCGATTATTGTTAATTATATATACGACATTGTAATCCTTAGTAACAATTGTGATAATAAATAAATATAATAGGTAGACGGTGCATTCTTGAATTAAGGAAACATAGTAATATATTGGGGCCTATTCTGAGGCGCTAATTCTCTAAACACATCTCTTAACCTAATACTTTAATAGTAAATCATTTCTACAAATTACTGTTTAATGGGCCATCATAAATTAGATTTTTAATCATTTTGGTTTAAGTGTATTAGAAATATTGTTTATATTTGTATTTAGAATAAAAAAACTGCTGTGATATCAAATTGAAATTTCAATTTTGGAAATAGATTTAGAGAAATGTGCCTCAGAATCGAGCGTATTATTTAATTATATTGAGCAAAAAGATCTTTATACATAATCTATATATATTATATATATATATATATTAATAAAATACAAGTAAGTTGATTCTCGCTGAAATTTATAAATTAAAAACCGCTTAATACAAGTTTCATATCTACACACATAAAGATGATAGAAGATCCACGACTAAGATTCCATAAATTGTTACGGCCACAAAAATTCCTTAAGAAAGTTACATTAACTACGAAACCTGTTTAGGCAGAAGATGTTTCAACTGTATTAGGAACTGTCATAGTTTTTTTTTTTGTCGCTGTGTAATCTTGGGTCGTAATTTAAGTTGTATTTTTTTTATTATATCTAATATTTATGGCTAAATGAATTAAGAAAATAAACAAATAACATTTATATGAAAGGATTAAAACAAGAAAGAAGTTTGATAATGATGAAAATGTAATATACTATGATCTAAACTGTAATCATAATCCACGCAGAAATATTCTAAAAATAAATGGCAAATATATATTCTGTCTGAGTCTGATAATAAGAAACACTTAATGTATATATATGTATATATATGTAATGGGAAATTAATGAAACCACTGTTTTTGCGGGCTTCGTTACTACCCTCGCTCGCACCGACGTCATCACAGGCTATGCGAGTTGCGGCCGCATTGCGAGGCGAGACGCTGCGAGGCAAGATCACAGACGTCCTTTAAAGAAGACTTCCAGATGAAGTCAAAGTAATTGTCGGAAATCTTGTTTTTGATGACACTTACATTTTTTTTCACTGCCACTGTCAAAAACCTGGGAATAGTTATGGATCTAACTTTGTCCTGGGGTACTCACTTTGGTGAAATAAGCCGGAGGATATTTGCCTCACTCCACTCTCTTAAACGCCTTCAGTTCTTGTTATCCCTGGGTGCTCGTGTTTTAACTTGTAACACCTATTATTTTTTATTTTTTTCTTAGTAAATATATAATAAAAAATGCTAATATTTTTTTTTGTCTCCACCAACTCACAATTCAAAAGTTAACTGAAAGAGATCCTTTTTATGGGATAAGTCCGCCAATATAGTCATTCTTGTCAGAAACAAACAAACACAATGAGTTCATTAATTTCTCGTTACATATATTTATAGACATCGGAAAAAAGTTACATTACTTTTTAAAATAAGAAACATTTTGCTTCTTAATTAATTTAATTGAAAAAATAATAATACCGTACCCATATGTAAAATCTTTATAGAATACATTATTTATTTTTTAATTTTTTTTTTTATTTATTAAAATAGAATGTATTAACAATAGTCCTGTATATACTAACTAGTTTACATGTTGATATAGTGTTTTTTTTTCTTTATATATGTAGCTAGTTTGTTCTACTTTTATTTTGCAAATTTTTTAAATCAATATTCTGTATAATAAAGAGATTGTGCAAAATGTTAATTTAGAAAAAAGACCATAGTGGTCTTAGTCTTAGCACATTAGTAGTAGATTTTAAATTATGATATATTGGTTCTGTAGATATTTAAAAAGATTATTATAGAACACACCGAATACGAAGAATGTATTATAATAAGTATGAAGTGTGTTTTATGAAACTTGGCTATGTAGCTCTTCCATTTTATTATATACTATTCAAGTAATTCACATAGCAGGTTTATTTTTTCTTTAGTTGCAGTTATCACACTATCTACTGGTAACACAATGCTAATAGTAAACGGGTACATATTTAAAAGAGATATAAACTTTATAGAAGGTTCAAAATGGCGTTGTAATGAGCTTAGTCAAAACAAATGTAGTGTTTATGTCCATGTTAATGAAAAATACGAAGTACAATTAATACATAATGATCACACGCATGAACCAATACTGTGTAGGACATTTCAAAATAGAATTATGTAAACATTAAGTTTTAGATTTTTTTGATGCATGCCTTTTGTGGTTTATAAGAGATGGGAATTAATGCGAATATTTACGTAAACTATGATAATTTGTTTGTATTATTCCGACATTTCGAGCAGTTTATAATCAGTCGTGATTTCGAATATTAGCAGGTGTAAACCGGTTGAAAAGTAGAGATAACTCGGGTAACTTTTCGTAGTTTACCTAAATGGTCGCATTAGTTTCTGCCTCTTATAATCTATGTGAACAATATTAAAAAAAAATACTACGTTGATTTGTAACTTAATTATTGTTATGTTCAATAATATTGAATGTTATTAGAAGCCAATATTTGATTTTATCTTTTTATAAGTACTTACGAATAAAATTACTTTTTTATATTTTTTTTTCTTTTAATTTAATATCAGTATTATGAAAGTGCTATGAATATGTGAAGATTCTATAAGAAAGTAATAGAGATTCTCACGTTGTTGACAGATACGGATATAAAAGAAGATTTAATCGATCCTGAAGATGTGCCCGTTCAGGAATCAGAATTTATCGATAAAGTTGAAGATGACAATGTGGCGTTATTCTTAGAATCTCGTAGAGGAAAGGCCATCTTACAATACAAGGGGCATAGATACAGAAAAGCTTATACATCCAAGCACGGGAACCGTTGGAACTGTTCCGTTAACACACTGTGCAGTGCGTTCTTATACCTGAGCGAGAATGATGAGATTATAATGCTGAACGAACACCACGATCATGATCCGCCGGCCAGACTGGACTCCATTGATGCAGATCAAGATGGTGAGTCAATTAGCATTTCTTCCTTATTCAAAAACATTTATTTATTTGTTTATTTTAAAAGGTACATTAGCAGTGATTTATTACTGCTGATGTACCTTTTAAAATAAACAAATAAATATTTTTTTTTTATTTTAAATTTTACTAGAGGAAAACTGTACAAAAGTCGTTTGCTTGAGTACCTCTGTCCCATTCGTGTTTCTACCGTGAAGCAGTTGTGTTTGCATGGCTGTTTCGGTTCGAAGGGTGGAATATGGCAGTAAATTTACAGGGTATAAAGGAATAACACCTGAGTTTTTAGGAATGGCAAAGCATGGGGGTGTCATGGGCGAAATAGTATACTCTGTATATGTTCATGGTAATTTTCATATTTATAGGCGACGGTTATCACTTTCCATCAGATGGGCCGTAATAGTTACTCAAAAACTGAATGAATGGATTTTGATGAAATTTGCTATACAGATCAATCAATCCTAAATTCTATCTCAACATTTATTTATATATATATATATATATATATATATATATATATATATATATATATATATGCTAATCGATAAATTCGTTCATTAGTAGTTGTTCATATACGAGTCGGTATGAACGTAAACGCTCATTGGAATGCTTTTTTTGTTAGCAACTTTCGATACTCTTTAGTTAATTAATTTTTATTAATTATTAAATATTTCAAAGAATGTAGTCGACCGCTGGTTTTTTTGGGTCGTGTATGACGTTTTGTTAACGTAGTGGATTTTGAAGCTACGATAGTAGTAGGAAAGATAATATAAGTAATAAGTATATATATTATATATATAAATAATATGTTTTAGTGATTTACATAGAATTATTCGTTAGTAGAATCATTCCAATACGAAATTTAGTATATTATTTAGTAGTGAAAAAATATAAAATTAGTTATTACTAATTAATCGAATAACAAAATAATTTGATTTCGCGCATCACTAGGTTAAATATCCTTTTGATTTAATCGTGAAAAACTGGAGAATTTTACTAGTGTTTTATTATATTAATAAGAAAGAATAAATACATATAATGTTGTCTATCAGAGATCGCTTTTAGCGATAAGGCCGCCTTTCGTGTATGCACATTCTGTATAAATACTCTTTGTATACATCTCTACTGTGCTCAATAAAGAGTTTATTATTATAAGGTATATATCTATATTTGTTCCATTGTTACAGACACGGCAATGGTCATAACGTCTCGGAAAGGTAAGGAGATGTTACTGTTTAGACAGTACACGTATCGTAAGCAGTACAGTAAGGTAAACAAGTCCCGATGGGTTTGTTCGACGCTCAAGAACTGCCGCGGCTGTGTCTTCACTGATGACAAGATGTTCATAACGTCCGTATTCGAGGAACACTGCCATCCACCGCCGAAGTATTATTTAAAACCGGATAATCTTCTTGGAGCAATAAGGGAACAGGTCAATTCAGAAAGCGAGTAATGTATAAGCAAAAACAGTTTCAAGAGAAATTATAAACGAAGTTAACATATGAACGTAAAAATATAGTGCAGAAAACAGTTTTTTTCTTTTTAACTGACTTCAGAAAAGGAGGTTCTCTATTTGTCTTTTTTTAAATTTTTCATGTATGTTTCTCGTTTACTCGAAGACACTAGGTGCGATCCGCAAAATTATTTTTTATGCGAAAGGAATCTTTTAAATTGTTGATACACAAATTGTTTATCGATTCAGTAGTTGAGTGAGCATCGAGCCTGAACAACGCACAGTGGGAACTCGCCTAAGAAAACCATCTCATAAATACTTTTTCTAAAACTCCGTGGATATACATGTATAATACCTCAAATTGTAGCTAAAGAGTTACTCTATCATTATAAATATGATTCAATCTCTGTCTATTCATATTTCATATAATAGAGCATCTAAAGTCAAGGAATAAAAAAAAATCAAATATAATTATGTAACTTAAATTCGTTTGGTATAATTTTATAGTATCAAAACAATAGAAGTCATATAATGTGATACCATTTTAGAATGCTTAGAGTGTGTACTTTACTACAAAATAAAAATATATTTAGTTTAGTAAAATATTACCTAACCAAATATCCATATATCGTTATATGTACTATTTTCTTTTCTCAAACTTTCAGTTGGAGATTTGACAGTTGCCAAAGCTTACCGAAGTTCTGATTTTGGTTTTATTTATTAGGAAATATAATGTAATTTCATAGCAAAAAACATTTGCAGTTTCACTGCGTAATATATTTAAATCTAGTATAATATCATGGTGAGATTTTTTTTCTAAGTACGTATATTAAGATTTTTTTCTGTATTTGAGATTCTCTGTCTGGACACTCAAAAAAATACTCTTGGCTCAATTATTACTTTATATTTTATCTTTTGCATTACTCTTATCAAGTATTTCACACAGTATTTAGATTCCATTCCCATACAGACCTATTCTATACCGCATAACCGCATAATAATGATAAATATTTTTTATCAAGTAATTTTGCACACGTTATTAAGTATAAAATAGTGCATTTTCATATGAAATATTACAGTTCATAAGCATTTGTCATTATTAAACAATTGTTAATTACTTATCTTTCCGCAATGAGTGAATTCTCGTGTACCAGACGCGACTTAAGTCTCTTATTGATTGAAAGTGATACAAATTATGTTGATTCTATCTCAAACTATATACGAAATAATTTTACCGAATCTTCAGATGCGAATATAGCAAAAACTATCGCAAGTATTCAGAAGTCCTTCATAATTCAGTTTCGTCAACGCTATACGAAATGTGGTCGAAAGAAAGAACAGTTTTTAAATCAAAATAGCAATTGGTTGGATGGCATTTTCACTGTAAATCTAGAAAAAACTACTTGCGAACCTGAACCTTCTACTTCGACAGAGAAAAGAGGAAGACCTTCTAAAACGTACGATGACAGTTCAGAGAGTACAAAGAAATGGAAAAACAAGGGATTGCTTGATACCTGTGGACTTGATTTCATACTGAACTCATACGTACAGGGTTTAAGGTCACGCGGTGAAGTAGATGGAGCATTCATCGTTGATATTTTACGAGCATTGCCGGCAGAAAAAAAGAGTGAAATGCGCAGTAATCTTCTTAATGAACCGGCACATATAACAGCATATTCAAAAGATGATGCTCTTAGCATTTTTATAGAATTGGATTATCAGGAAAAAAAATCATGTACATATCTTTATTAATACGGAAATTATAGATTTATGAGATGAAAATGAGTCAAAGTTCCCACTGTGCAACGGGTTAACTTTTTTTTTTTTTTATTAGTGTTCTATGTAATTACGCACACAATGCCCCTTGACGTATCTATATTTGATTATTTAATAAATAAAATGAGTTTTTGTGCATTAAAAATGTGCAAAATTTGTAAGACATAATAAATATAGAAGTTACAAAGGAATCACTCAACTATTTATCACGCAATGTTGTATGAAAAAGTTGACCCGCTTTTCTAGAAGCATTTGTATGGAGACACTATGTATATAATTTAAGATAATCACATTGACTTTTAATCATGTAACAGAAGATCCTTTAGTAGAACTTCGGGTTCATGTACTATTTCTAGGTAATTTAATATTTGATTTAATGGTATCGGCTCTATTTTGTTGGTAATTTGTAATCTTAGACTATACAGACAGAGCATCGGGTATCAGATACGTGTGAAAATTTAGTCAATTTATTTGACATTTGACTGATGATTTTTTTTTTTTTAATAAAAATAATACTCTTTTTTTTCCAATGTTGCAAGTAATTGAATTTAAAACTTCCAAAACCAGGTCGATTCTTAAATTTGAATTTAAACTATTTTTTTTCTGATACAATAATATAAATGTGTTTTATTTATTTTTTATTATTATATATGTATTAATTAAAATGGCAGCCGTTTTCAATTGCTTAAAAACGAAAATATATTTTTATAAACATATTATAAATTGAAGTGTTCAATAAAAATAAGTATCATTATGAGTCATTATGCACTGATTTTATCTTGTTTTTTTCAAATACGAGTATATTCGTAAGAATTTTGTATCGTTTTTATTTTTAAATTTTTTTCTGAAATATGAATCTCCGCACTTAGTATTCAACTGTACATACTGGTAACCCAATTTATGCATACATGGATAAAAAAGTTGATCTGTTTTTGGAGAAGTATTTGTATGCATACACAATCTATGTATTAAATCTAAGTTTGTTACATATTTTAGAGTTTGATGATTTAATTTTTAAATGCATTGTCAAGTGTCAAAAAACGGTCAGCCATTTGTTGGCTGTAATAAAAAAATGGCGGCATTTTTTATGTTCCAGATAATAAATATAAAAGTTTAAAGAAAAAAATGAGTTATTAGTGAATTGCTTATAGACAGACATTCTATCTTTTCTTTGTTAGTCCTTACGGCTTGGCTGAATTCACAAAATTCTTCCTGTTTTGCTACATTTTAATATATTATGTATAATTGTTAATATATTTGTATAATTATTAATATATTTGTATAATATAAAACAATATTACTTTTGTTTATTAAAGGGAACTATTATAAACAGTTTTATAATTTATGCGAGTCACCTGTAGAGAAATTTTATGGTTTGGAGAAATGTATTATCGTTGAGATAGAGTAACTTTTACGTTTTATTACACCTAGCAACACTGATGTCTAAATCTGGAGCTAATAAGCATCTTTAAATGAGTATTAATGATGCAAAGAAGATCAATAGTATCTCAACTAAATATTGTATTTCAAATAACATTATTTGAAAACAATATTTATTTGAGCTATTAATAAATGTAACATAATCTAATATATTTAGTCAATGTCAAGTCTGAAACATGTCCAATTTTGCTTGCAATATTCTATAGAACATCGCCGACTATTGATTGTCATTGCAATATTATTGTGCAGTGCATAAGGTACAAAATAGTTGTTGAATCAATCAAGTTTTCTTAGGTATATATATTTTCGTGTCGCTTGGCAACCGAAGTTAGATTTTGGTAATGTTTTAAGAGAGACGCTAATGTCCATCCCTCAAGGGCAGGTCATTTCTATGCCAAGACCACACGGCAAATTTCGTGTCTTACAAGTACATTCTTATTAAGAATAAACTTATATACTAGAATACATTATCAAATTTTATGTACAGGTATTAGCAAATATTTACTTAACATAGTTTAATATGTTGGGTTTTTTGAATTCATACAATGCTTGCTGCGTTGTTGGACTCTATTAAACCCAGTTATTAATACGCGTTTAACTGTACATATATCTGTATATATAAGACTTTATTAACTATAATTGTTTGTGATACTGCAAGTTTTAGATTCAAATTCAAATATTTAAATATACTTGTTTACAAGCATTTTTAAAACGTATTTTTTTTTAAATCTACTGCAGCGTTCGGAAAGTTGTTATCTGTTGAGAAGAGCTCGCAAGAAACTCAACAGTTACTCTTTTAAATCTCTGTTAACATTATGTGTATATATTTAAATGTACTATGTCTAAAATTACACCATGCACGCTTATCATTAATAGATATTACGATTTATATTTTTAATTACATTTTCCCTACTATAGTGAACTTTATTATTTTAACATTTCAGTTGTGATGTCGAAACGTGGACGGCCGCTGCTTCTATACAACAATTATACTTACTCCAAGTATCCGTACCCTCTGAAGACCGGTCTGCGTTGGTACTGCTCCAAGGTGAAGAACTGCCGAGCGTATCTCTTCACCACACACGACAACGTTGTACTGAGGGCGTACGGCAGCCATGCACACAGCCCTACCGAAAGCTTCGAGCCAAGTTTAGGAATACCAATCAAAGGCAGTTATTACAGTAGCTGCCTTTAAGATCGTTTGTAACTTTTGCTTGCCGAAGTATGGCAACGTTGCATTTATTTATTATAAACGTTACTTTTAATATATATTTATATATTAAAACAACGATAAGCATTATGAGATATAGTAACTATTAAGTAATTTGTAGCTAGAGCTGATCTTGTTGACTCAAAAAATATTTGAAGTGTTTTTTTTTTTTTTAATAGGCTTATTGTGTGCTTTGCGTAGGTCTACAGAAATTTTATTCCAAAGGCTGATAGCAGGTGGTTTATCTGTTAATTTTCATAAATATTTTGTCTATTTTCAATATTTCTAATTGATTATTTAAAAAGTATTTTGTCAGAAAATGTTCTTTAGTGACAGCTTAATAAGAATGTTTATTGCATGATTAATGTCGTAATTCGCTAGCAGAAGTTTTTAAAATAATGATTAAAAAATATACAATGTTACATTATTGTTATACGTTTCGTAAGCACACTTTATATTTTAATTTAATAACTACCGGTTTAATTTACGTGTTATTAGATCGAGAAAGCTCGACTGGTTTCGGGACCAATTCGTGACCCTTGATTACACGTAAATTAAGCTAGTAGATTAAAATATAAACATATAATATAACAATATTAATTTGAAAATTGACAGTTATTTGCGATGTTGCCATACTTCCTTATGAATTCTCTTAATTGATATAATTATATGTGATTACTTATTAATAATGAAATATTGTATACTTATTAAGAAAAAGGACTATGTATAAAAATAATCATGAAATAATTATTATTTGATAATGTTATTATTTTGAGATGTATTCAAAGTTGTAATTGGGGCCAAATTCAATTGCTACTGTTTTTACCAACCATTTTTAAGCCCTATTTGTCTTTATTACTCGTATTTTTATATGAGTTTTAATATTTGTATAGAATGTTTCTGGACGTACCCACATATGATCTTGCCCTCGGTCCTTCTGGAACTTATTCCAAGCTATACATAGGAAAAACTTTATCGTATTTTTGTAAGCATTAAGTTGGCCCATTTAATGGAAAAAGCCAACAGTCGTCTGCAAATAAAAACAGTACACAGATTTGATTGAATCAGGTCTTATGAAATTAAAATTGTTAGTTCTAAGATTCGATTTATAAAACTTGTAAACTTTAGTTTTTTAATTATGAAATAAATATTAACTAATCTATTTACCTGTATTATTTACACATAAAATTCTTATTTACCTTATGGACTTTTTAATGGAAAAAGTAATGGTATTCCTGCCTGCGTTATCACCATATATCCACGTGGTATGAGCCAGCCAGTCAGCCTATCATGACTAAATCTCAAGTAAGTAACTACGATGTTTTCCTGGGTGGACCGTGTGGAGGTCGATCTAATAGGTTATATAACAATATACCCTATCTTTTTTAAGTTTTGTGTCCACTATCGGGACCTTTATGGGTTACCATGACGATGATATAAATAATAGTCACGTTATTCTTCCAATTTTATTAAAATTATTATACAATATTAAAATTGTCAAAAGTATATAATAATTTAAAATCTATCTTATCCTACTAAAGATTTGAGCACGGATTGGTTTATAGATAAGTTACTTTGCTAACAATTTCATTAAATATTATATTACCATTTGGGCTCGAACAATCTATCCGACAGGATCTATCGACGATGGGCTTAACACCAAAGAAAACGCCAAAGCGTCAAGTTTATAAAACAAAGTATCAGGAGGACAGAATCCAAACAGGGAATTAGTCGAGAAATTGATTTATTATATTACCAGCAAAAATGGCTTATTCAAATAAAAATTGTAACAAACTTATGGGGCTACATCAGGGGGTTAATAAATTCGCCATACTAAACCGCATACTAACGACCGGCGCCGACTTCGTACGGATTGTATCCATAGTACATACACTGTCCGTAAAAATATTTTAATGTTAGTGAAAGCCATATCAAAAGTTTTGTTGTGATCGTAGTAACTTACTATTTACCGCGTCAGTTTCAACGCTTATAACTTGTAAGCGGTGAAAAAGACGCGGTTAGCGATTTTTATTTATTTATTCTTTATTGACCACATTACAAAAAATGGCTGATACAAAAAGCGGGCTTAATGCTATATAGCATTCTCCTCCAGTAAACGTTTGGCAGAACAGAAATGTAATTATGCGGTGAAAATTAAAAAAAATTGATTACATGGGCTATATTTTATTTTAAAAAAGTAGAGATTGTCTACTTGGCGAAGTTGGAACGGAACGCTAGTTAGGATTCCGTACAAAAGAGGTACAAAGAAACCCTTATGATGCGACTTTGTCTGTCCGTCTGTTTGTCACAGTGCTATATTTCAGCAACTGCTAATGCGATGGACTTGAAATTTGGAATAGTTTTACATATTGTTGGTCCTACTAATACTAATGCAAAATGTAAAACTATTTTATTTATGTGCGGAATTCTCGGCGAGTGAGTTCAAGTCACACTTAACAGTTTTATTTTACTATAGAGACGACATGCCAACGAAACTTTATATCACTTTTGCAGTTCGAGAGAACCATTAAACTTATCGGATTGTACGAAATGAATTTTATTATGATTTGGTCAAATACTAATTATGGAGATCCAATAATCCTTACTAATTCCGAGATTTTCCCAAGAGACTACAGCATGGGGTTCTTCAAAAGGGGGGTAAAGAGGTTTCTTCAGGGTTGGCAACGCACGCGTAATACCTCTGGTATTGCAGGTGTTCATAGGCTACGGTAACCACTTACCATCAGGTGGGCCGTATGCTTGTTTGCCACCTCAGTGGTATAAAAAAATATAAATACGAAAGTTTGTTTATTATCTTTTAGTCTTAATCAATCACTATGAAATTGGTATACATGTACAATATAGAATGGAGAAGAACATAGGCTACATTTTAGATTATCCTTATTAGATTATACCCCATTAGATCATATATATATAGGGATTACCCCATTAGATCATATAACAGCAATATAGAAATACTGGAAAGGTTCCAAAGTAAGACAATAAGAAACATGCTTAATATCACAATATATAAGTAATAAATTTATGTTAATGGACATCAAACTGAAAACGATAAAACAGGAAATCGAGACATTCAGCAAAAACTATCAGTCTAGTTTGAACAGCCATAGAAATGAATTGGCCGCTCAATTACAGGGATCGGGAAGCATTAGTTTCTCTCGATTAAAAAGACAGTATCCAAGGACTGGTAGAAAGATTCACAGAGACTGAGAGCTGGTTAATGGATTGGCCTCATCATATATTAATAAGATTTAAACCTGACATTCAAACAGCAGATTGGATTATTGTTCTATAAGGAACAGATTGCCAATTAGCAGACTAGAAAAAGAAAAAAAAAATTAGAACATATATCGATCACACAAATCAAAGTCGGGAACAAAAACTAGTAAAACATACCCAAATGGTACACAGACTGCAACATAATAAAAAAAAAAAATCTTTAGCTACAACACATAATGGTTAATATCGTTTAGAATAAGGTTTAAGTTTCAATAACAAAATGTTTGTAAACTTTAAAAATAGAATGTAGATGATGTGCGTGTCTAAATCTAATTTTATATTTTAATACGTATTCGCATTTTCACACTACGAATTTTTTCCGTGCGGTTTTTTCCACGTACTTGTCTTATCGATGTACTTACTATTTATAGGTTCCTAAAATTCGGTAAATATCGTCAATATGGACACTTACATAGTCTTTGAGCACTTAAAGAAAATGTTGCTTATTACGTTATTATATTAACAAATAATATTCTATTATTTATATACAACTTTTAGACTGCAATGGCATCAAAACCTGTATTAAAAGGGGAGAAAGGGATTGTTAGTAATGGAGACTAAGAATCCCATTGCTAGCAATATACCCAACCAGGTCGACCTCGCGGTTCCCCCTGGAAACTATCATGGTTAATTCCTGATGAATTCATCATGATGGGCTAACTGGCCTGTTTTCATCCTCATCCATCACCGTTCACTGGTGCTCCGCCAGCGCATCCCGTTAGCGCAGGCGGGGTTACCATACCATTTTCACCCATAAAAAAAACCCTTCAATTGTAAAAACAAATTAAACGTGTATTAAATTTTATGTTGGGTTGAGTTGTTAAAGCGCTAAGAGATAACAAACTTTCGTATTTATGATAAGTAAAGAGAATTTGTAGCCGTAAAGGTATCGGTATAGAATAGGCCATCCCTTCCTTTCCCGTGAGTGCCGTAAGAGGCGACTAAGGAAGAGCGAGGGATAGGCAGCAGCGTCTCTCTTAAAATATCTCCAATAGCCAAATTGCGGTTGCCAACCCGCCTGCCAAACGTGGCAACTACTGTCAACACCTTATAGGGGAAGCTACGTTCAACAGTGGACAGTTAAATGGTTGATACAACAACAAAAACATAGAGAATTTATGATTGCTAAATATTTTACATTTGTCATAAGTAAATAGAGAATATGTTTTACTTTTTAATTGGGAAATCAAAGATTTTAGTCGCATCCGTTTGCCGTGAAAAATTAAGTACATTTATTTTTTTACAACATGCCGATAATATATTAAATTTTAGAGTAACATATCCATTAAATGAAGATGTCTTACGTTACACTGGTACTTAATGTATTTTGTACCTCATATTTTTATTGGATATGAGTATTTTATTGTAAAAATAAACTAAGTTTTGTTTCTTGCCGTTATTTTTCACTGTTCTGGCTACTTTCACAAATGGGAATCTAACATCATGTCAAACTTATTTTAAAACCAATAGACTATATTATTTATAGACTTATGATAAGTCCATTTCTACTTAGACTTCATCATAAAAATGTACAAATTTAAGGTATTTATTTGTTTTAATTGCGTACAACGCCATCTAGCAGTACCATTAATATAAATTAACAAAACTATTATTAAAATTGATTCTTAACTATTAAGAAAAAGTTAGAATATGCTCAATAAAAATTTGAGGGGCCCGTAAAAGCTGGCAAAAATACAAATAAATTAATGAATTGAAATAATTACCTACTAGTCAAAAAAAAGTTTTTAAGGCTCCCTAATAAAAAGCATTTTCTATTATTTTTCTTTTTACATTTTTGTACTTCTTGAAACATGACAAACTTAAACTCTTATTTGAATTTACATTAAATATTAAATGGATGTCTAAATGCATCATATAACTATATATAAAGTTAAAAAAGTATATACACAGTTCCAAATTGGCCTCAAAAGACTTAACAATCTTAAAGTATTAAACAATTAAATATTAAAATTTATTTTTAATAATAACAATATTATGTATTCTTTAGTTACATATTTGTAATAATAATAATTCAAAATAGATTAAGATCAAACAATAAAACAATATTAGAATCAAATTAAATGGGTTATTGATATCTTATAATTATAAAATAATAAAAAATATAATATTAATACATAATTCATTATTTAATAATACTATATAAGAAAACTTACAGCTTTGACCTTTTTAAACATATAACATTTTTTGTGTTAATGAAAAAAATATTGCAATAAGTTATTTATTATTCATATTTTAGGTGGGGGGATAAATTAAAACAATACAAATAAAATATAATTTTGATTTACCTAAGCCATAATTAAGTACCTACCTTCTAATTTCACTGGCCTACATCCACATTAACTTAATTGCCACATTAGATTAAAATTAATTATTTTTACCAATTAATATTTATATGCCCTAGTAAGGCTTACTACCCATAATGGTATAGGCACATTTTGTATAATAGTTGGCATTTCTCTCATTTATAAATGTTATACTTAATTAAAACATGTTCATGGTTCAACTAGTCAACCTGTCATACACTATTTACTTATTATTTTTCATTGGCAAGACAAAAGTCAATATATTGAGGTAGAAGTTATGTATGCTTAATTGTATCAGTCTTTCATTTATGATCATTTTGGTTATAAACAAAAAATTATAAATATAAATAAATACCTACTGGGCATTTTCACTTAAAAGGTCAACAAACATCTTTAAAAACTTTCACATTTATAATGTTAATACTTACTTGGAAAAATATCTATTAGTTAGCGTTTGAGTAGCCATCATGGCACTAAGATTGAATACAAAAAAAAGTTTTTTTTTTTTTAATTTTCTCAGTCTTTACTAACATTTTAAAAATAGTCAAGTGCACATATTTAAAGTCATTCTTACTTTTTTTATTTTTCTGTTACATGACTGACTTAAAAAATTTACATGATTCACTACATTACTGGCATGTGCTTAGATTTTAAGTAATTTAGAGTTAATTATAAAATTCTGTTTTAATATATACTAAAAGTGAAAATGCCTTACTACAAATAGGTTACATAATACAATTATAAATAATTTCTTAATTTTTTTACTCACAACATCTGCATTAGTATTATTTAAGATAATTTGTACTGTTTAAAGTCTAAGCATTTTCTGTAAACACTATCTCTAACATTATAATAATCTTACAGTAAAAATTCTAAAAAAATATTATAATATCAAAGGTACAAAATGAGGTAGAAAGTCAGTATCAGTCTATAAACAGGTAAACAGTTCAGTAAAAAAAATATTACACAACCCTAAATGAACCATCGTTTCGTCTGTAAAATCCAGGGGCCGGATGATTGTGACTATTACGTACCCTTTTTATAACATTTCCCAAACGGTGTATAACAGTTGTTATGTCCACATAGCATCCAGTCTTTGTTCTCGATGTGCAGTACCATTGTTTCTTCCCATAGGCCAGTTTATTTTTTAGACGAAAAGCAAAACCATCATGCACCAAAAGTAAACTCCCCTTTCTTGTTGGTATGAAATTGGCAACTGAAATTAATTATGTTTGTTAATAAATGTTTCATTTTATTATTTATTTTTTATCACAGGTACAAAACATGCATCAATAAAATAAAACATTTTTTTGTAATTATGTGAATTTATTATAATCAAAATTATTTATATCTGACGTAGGTACAATATCATTTTTGAAATATCTACATTTAATAGATTTTTGTACAAGTAATAGATACAAATTTTTATTCATAATGTAATCTCAAATTCCAGTTATTAAAGTACACAAATGAAAAGACAGTGTAAACAATAATTTAAAATATCTTAAGATAATTATGACGAGTTACAATAAGTATTAGGAATATACTTGACGATAGACTTTCAAGTTAACTCATGCAAGTTTTGACCTCAATATTTATTTACCAATTTCAACATAAAACATATTTATAAATACTTTGTGCCCTAATTTTTAAATAGAAAGTTTTATAGAACATTTCACTACAATGTATGCCACAAAACGCATATATTTCTTCAATAACTTAAAATTAAAAATGTATCATAACCTCTTGATACTTATTTTAGATACAAATGATATCCTTAATAATTGGTTTTCACTTTATACACTAAGCAAATAGGGATACGCAATAAAAAAAAAAAAAACTAAACAAAACTACTAAAATTCGTAACACTGTACTCACTACACTATTATTAAATATTAACACGCACGCATACTCACAGTGTTGCCAACTCTTTTTCTTGTTTTAGGGTTAAATCTAATTTTAAAAGAGTTTTCTCCCGTAAATACTCAGGGTGTAGAATGAGCTCCCTACCGAGGATTTCCCTAGAGACTACAGTATGGGGTTCTTAAAAAGGGTGTATTAAGGTTTTTTCAAGGTCGGCTACGTGCGCGTCTATAGGTAACAATGACCGTTTACCATCAGACTAGTTGTATGCTTGTGTGCCGCTTCGTGGTATAATAAAAAAGAATTAAATATAAAATTGTGCTAAATTCTCATATATTTTTATCAATTTCGTGGACAAATATTGTACAAATTTCTCTTAATATAAAAAAATGCAAATATTGTTATTGATTTAAAAATTATAGAACTCGAGTCGAAATTTAGCTGTTAATAAATAGTTTTTGCTCTGACTGGAGAAACTCTGGTTAAATTTATGACAGGGACTAAGACAAAGAGGTTGGATCAAGAAAAAAACGGGCTAAGATAGCTTTTGTAGGGCTAATGGGCAACATTGCCGACGCAGCCGTTACGCACACTTATAAAACAATTGAATCTAAATAATATACGGTAACCTTATATGCGTATATTATATTGCGTTCCTTTATATGCAGTAATCGTAGAAGCATTAAAAGAAGAATTTGCTTTGTTACCTATCATTGAAATGTCAATGTTCAATTGTATTATAAATATCTTCATAGTTAAGTTTAAAATAAGTATCTATTAAGATTGTTTGAAAACTTTTTATTAAATCATATTTTGTAGACTTACTTTGATTTATAACATTATTCAATTGATTACTTATAAGTTATCTTTAGAATAATAAAAAAATAATCGAGATAAAATATTATCTATATACATCGGTATCTTATTTGTTTTGCTAGTAAAAGGCAATGTGCGCTACGCATGAGAATGTCCGAATAATCAACGATATCAGATATTTAAATATCGTAGTGATAAATTATGACATGTTTAGATAGACTTTAACATGCAGTATGTTATCAAATCATGTAGGTTGAGGATGTGTTAGGCGTCGCTCTGTTATTGCTATATTGTACAACACTAAGGTAGGTCCGGTACGCATAAAAAAAATTAAATGTCAGTGTCAAACTTACGTCGTCGTACGTTTCCCAGTGCAAATATGTGATACACTTGTTGAGGTATTTATACGGGAATCAGAATTAATTTAACTTTTATTTGGATTTATATAAAATTTTGCCTAATTTATTATGATTAGTGTTGTGAAAATGGTGTATTAAAGTGATAGTGTTAGTGGATTACTTTAAAAATAAATAGTGATGAAAGTTAAGTTTTTGAAAAAGTCAAAAGTTTTCTATAAAGACAGGACTAGAAAACTTCTTAAAATTTACATTGATTATATAATAATAAAGTTATCGCTTTCCTGATTTCTATAGTTTAGTGCAAAATATTTCACAAATTTAAAAATTATTTTAATGTGTTCAGACAGTGTTTCATATAGGTATTAGGTCTAGTTTTTTTTATAATTTTGCTTTTTAAAGCAAACAGAATTGACTCTTATTTTGTATTTATACTTTCTTAATTGTAAATTTTTAGCTTTAATTAGTTTCTAGACTCTTAATTTATAATTTACCATAATTTTTGTGATAAATTTGTAATTTTATTCTTTTTAAAATATGTATTGTTTTATAATAATATGGTGTCTATATTGTAGCTGTTCTCAAAAATAATAAAATATAATTTTAATAAAATATTAAATGCATAATGTTACTTTAGTTATTACTGTATAGACAGTGTTTTCTATTTTAGACCATTTGTGGCCAATCATATTGAGTAGCAAAAAATAATAGGTGTTTGCCCTGAATAATGTCACACACCTCACATTTCTCTAAAATCAGTATTGTTTACTGTTAATATATTTGTAAATGTGTATTTTGACCTCTTTTACAGGAAACAATACAGAAACTACATGCAGTACCAAACTATTAAATTATTCAACAAGATTATTTGTTTCATTTATTTTCCTTCCTTATTCTATCATTAGCAATAATTAATTTTAATCAATCATACCTCGTTTTAATATGCATGTTGTAACTCATATTTATTTATGTTCCCAGGCATATTTATAAATACAAGAGGAAACTCCAAATTGTTCATTTATCAAAATCACACATTTCGATTTATGTATAAAAAGGCGTATGGCAGCCAATTATGGTATTGCTGGTACTTCTTCAGTAGGTGTTGCCCTGCGAAGTTGAGGATAAACAATGCTGGGAATGTTACTGAATGTATTGGACGACACAACCATGAACCACCGACATGTTGGATGACTCCTGATGGCAAGACCTACAGTTTGCCACCATTGCCAGATAGAAGTGCTCCATAACAGCAGTGTAATATGTATCAATTAAAAGTATTCCGAAACATTGTGTTTCACTTTGTTGTGTGTAAACCTGACTGCCTCTTTCCGTAATTGAGATTTTAAGGCTTAATTGCCTGCTCGGATTGTTCAGCAGCTGTAAGATGTATTCAAGTTAAATGAAACTGTATAAGTAATTGTGAAACATATATTAAGTTTTGTAAATATTAAAATTTAGGTTTCAATATTATGACAATATTGAAAGTAATTAATTTTAATTTGATGTTACACTTGTATCTCATGTTAAAAATATTAATTGTTAACAAAATTCGTTTTTTTTTTTCCATTTGTTATCATTAAAATTATTATATTTACTGTTAATATTGTGACCATTGTTTTAAAGATTTTGATTTATGAACAAAAATGTAATTATACAAGAAAATTGTATAAATATTACTTTTTTTAATTTTGATTGTACTTTTGAAAGCTTCAAGCCCATTGTAATTCCAAATATTATATCATTTATATATGTATTATTCGTTACTACACTACAGGCAATATGAGTCAATTTTATAATTTTTAAGTAAAGATTTTATAAGTATGTAATTATTAAATTAAAATTGCAATTATATATATTTCAAAAATTAAATATATATAATTGCAATTACTACTTCATTAAGTGTCTCAGTGAAATATTTTATAATTTAATATATGAATTATATTTGTTAAATAACTTTTATTACATGAATTTAAATAATTTAGAGGTAATAAAAGTAAATACACCGAAAATGTATAATTTTGCCTTTCTATTAATACCTCCTTATATTTTGTTTATGCTACTTAGAACGCAAACAAGGGAACGGTTCACCCAATGGAATAGTAACCGTCCCCTATAGACAAGAATGACACCACGAATAGCACAGAATATACTGTGCCGCCTATCAGTAAGTATGTAAGTTTACTATAGTAACGTTAATAAACAGATACTTAAAAACCTCTATTATTTTTATCCACATTTCCATTTAGCATATTTTTCAATAAATTGTGCCATTTAATATGCCTATAAAAACATAGTCGGTATCAAAGTACGAATCCGTTGAAATACTTCTAAATTAAGTTGTATCTTCAGTGTATGTGATTCAAGTTAAAGAAGTACGATTTTGTATTTTAGCGAGTTATACATACCTACTCGTCTGACGGTTTATCACTTGTTTCTTTATTTACACTGGTTCAAGGCCAGATGATTAAGATATTAGGTATCCACTGTAGTAAGTACTTAGGTGGATTAAAAATATGTTTTCCGTTTACATGGAAGTCTTATCTTACACATACTTGCGGTTGGTACTTTTTGAAACACTACTGCCTTTTGCAACAGTTGGGAATAATTGCGAATTGAGGTGATAGTAATAAATAGTTTTTACACCATAGACAATTTAACGTATAATCTAAGTTTTACATATCGTGCAACGCCATCTAGTCTCCAAAGGCAGAGCTTGTATTATTGATTATTAGACAATAGACATTGACACATTTTTTTTTTGTAAATAGAAATATGCATTTCATACCCAGTATTTTTATTAATTTATATCAAACAAGCTAATCACTCATTTGATGGAATGTGATAACCGTCGCTGTGATCACAAACATAACGAAGACCTCAGACCAATATGTCTATACATGCACAATTATTCGAATGCTTTTCAATCGACTTCAAAAAGAAGGAAGTTCTCAATTCGGTTAATTTTTTATGTTCGTTACCTCATAACTCAGTCATTTGCAGATCGATATGGAAAATTCTTTCTTTATCTTAGATCATATACTTAAAGATTGGTCGCATAGAAATGTTATCAAAATCAATTCTATAGTTTAGTTTTATATTAAAATAATTGGTTTTTCCATAATTGAAGTCAGTTTTTTTTTGTGGGACACAATTATACTGTGCTAAAATAATATGATAAATTTGTGACTATTTCTATAAAAAAGAGATATTTGTGAAAAAATGATATTTAGAGTTGCTTAATTAGATCTATGTTATTGCTCTCAAGTCTACAATATTTTTTAGAAAATTTGTCTGTCTATATGTTTGTTCCGACATTACGTAAAAACTACTCTACCAAATTGTATGCGATTATCACAGTTGTATTCCTAAAGGTCTACCTTAATCTATGGCTATATTTTATAGTCTATGAAGCATCATCTAAAAGTAGTCTAATCATTAGTTTTCCTACTTCTGAAATTCAAGGAGGATGGGATTATTAGTGGACTACCAGTTCCATTGCTAGCAATATACCCTGACAAGTCGACCTCCACGTGGTCCTCCCTTGGAAACCATCGTGCTGAATTCCAGGTGTGATAATCACCACTGATAGGCTAACTGACCTGTCTTTTCATTTTCACTTATCCTTCACCTACCATATACCGTTAGCACAGGCGGGGCTACCATTTCATTATCATCTATTAAAAAAAATCCACGTTTACGAAGTATCAAGCGAAAAGCTAGCAACAGACTATAATCAAAATAGTATGGCAAAGATACAGTTCTTTGACCCCAAAGTCATATTTCAATTCCCGATTCGTAGATTTATTATATTGATGAGTCATTATCAATACGTATCAATTCAATAAGGTATATTTAGCGTCTGGTATTGAATGCGAGATACTTGTAGATAGCTAAAAGAGTTTATAAAAGTAGACAAAGCAAGCGATGTGCGTAAGAATAGTTTTTGGAATTGGCACTCGGTTCTGCTTAACTCGTAAGGAACCTGGCGTAAACATAGATAAGTTTAAAGAGTTAAATATTTATATATAATTTCTTTTCTCAATGTTCTCTACCCAAAGGTTGTCTGGAAGAGATTGCTTAGCGATAAGGTCGCCTTTTGTATCATTTCTTATTACAGTTAAATGTGTTTACTATTTTACAAATTGTGCAATAAAGTGTACATAAATAAATAAAAATAAATAAATACTTAATTAAAATGAAACGTACAAAATAATTTGTCACACTACTTTTTTATCGCCTCAGTATAATTTTACTGTAAAATCTAAAACATAAATAGATTTTTCGCATTTATAATCTTAATCATAACCATAATGAGACATAAGTGGGAGGGGGAGGGTAAAGAGGAGTTGTTAGTAATGGGAACTAGTAGGAGGCTATCATGACTAGCGATATACCTTGTTAGATCGACCTTCACGTGGTTCCCTTGTAAATCAGGGTTAATTCTTGTTAAATTCGTCCATTGGTTACAGTGATCGTTTAGCATCAGACTACAGGGATGTACGCTTATAATATATTATGATTAATATGTATAAAAATAATTAAAGCGATCTTATTTTTGGAAACGACCGATCATTTTCCTATTATCAACATGTATATGTGTATGTTGTTTCAATGTGTTTCCGTGCTATTTTTGGAATAGTTATTTATGTAAAAGATTCAGAATGTTTATGTCGAGGCGGGACTGTTGGCCCATCGTAATGAATTCATCAGGAATTATTCACAGTTGTTTCCATAGGGAACTGTATGGAGGTCAACCTATTAGTATGTATTGCTAGTAATGGGGTCGCTTTTCCCTATTATTAAAATTATCTCCTCCTCCCCTTTTGTAGGGTCAGACAGATTCGTACACAACTGTGGGACGTAGAATGTTTATGTGACCACGGTACTAGGTTTGATATTAGAACGAGCTGGGATTGTTGGTAATTCTGACTATCAGACCCATTGCTAGCAATATGCCCTGTCAGGTCGACCTCTCCGTGGTCTCCCCTTAAAAGCATCGTGCTGAATTCCAGGTCTATTACATTATCAACTATAAAACAAATCTATGAAAAATGGAGACGTGTCTATATAAATAGTTGACATAAAAATAAGACAAAATAATGATATTTGCAAATGATCTCACAAAGTAAGAATCTCTGCAAAGGTTTTTATCATGTCTGGATCGCTATTAAATGGGCCTATGTAATCAAGAAATGCTGTCTCATATTACAAACAAGAAAGCTCATGTATCAAACAAGTCGTCTGAATGATTAATCAACATGATTGAGCATTATAAATCGCTTACTGTCCCTCTCCGATTGCATTTGCATTGTATTGAAGATAACAAACGTTTGTTATGCACTTTTGTAATAATTTATTATTTATTTATTTAATAATAATATTTTTTTAACTTAATTCACTTTAATAATAATTTAAAAGCAAAGCTCTCATTCTCTGTCTGAAATAAGGTTTTTATTTTTATAATAAAAATCGCGTATCGTTTCTTAAAAAGAACAGAATACACATGCGCTGTTTTTAAGGTGCTACTTATGTATTCTCAGACATGTCTTTGTCTATAACTCAAAGCTCCATTCCTGATATGTGTATCAGGAGCAAAAGAGGAGGAGGTGGAATTGTGTAGGTACCAGACAATTCTGGCCCCCATCTAAATACGCCTATGGGGGGAAAGGGATTGTTAGCAATGGAGATTGACAGCCCTATTGTTAGCAGTATACCCTATTAGGTCGACCTCTACGTGGTACCCCCTGGAAACCATCGTGAACAATTCTTATTGAATTCGTCACGATGGGCTAACTGACTTGCTTCATCCTCACCTATCATCCTTCACTGGTGCCTCGCCGGTGAATACCGATAGCGCGGGTCGGGTTACCATTCCATTATCACCCATTAAAAAAAATAATACGCCTATGGTAGTAAAGTAGCTATGGTAGTTAGTTCTTACTAACTTGAAACTGCACCTTTTTAATTTTACAATGGACAAAAAAATATTAATTGAGCTAATAATAATACGGGAGTCTTAAATATTTTTTCATTATATATACATATATATATACCAAAAAGGGAAGTCCAGAGTTTCCGGATTAGAGTAAGTATTCAAAATCGCCGGGCAAGAGGTGTGTGTGTTTGAAATGTATGTTCCTCTAAAAATCCAAAAAAAAATTACTTCCTTAATGAATTATGTTAATAATATAATTATAATAATAATTGCCTTTGTAATTGTGTTCCACAAAAAAAGTTGTTATTTTGTTACTAACAAATAACTAATTTAATTTAAAAACTGACTGATCGTCTGATATTGAATCGATTTTGATAAAATTCCTATGGGACGAATCTGTAAGTATATCCTTTCAGATAAAAAATAATTGTCCAAATCGGTTTACAACTGACGGAGTTATGAAGTAACATACAAAAAAGTACAACCGAATCGAGAACCTTTTTTTTGAAGTTGGTTAAAAAAATGTTACAAATGGTCAAATGTAAGAAGAACTTCCTAGAATTATTGGCTTGATTCCATAGTTATTTACCTATTTATTTCTAGATCTTTCTAGGTGCATCGTTATTCATAGTCATATCGGTAAAAACAATGGTTATCATTTATCATTTGGAACTACACTTTGATTTCGTAGTATTAATAAATATAAATTGCACATAATAAAATACATTCATAAATCATTGTCGATAATTTACTACGTAGTATGATTTTATTTTTATTTATTTATTTATTCATTAGTACAAATATGTGTACATAGCGGACTTAATGCTAAAAACATTCTCTCCCAGTCAACCATAGGGAAGTGTCAGAATACTCGAATGCGGTACTACTAATTATTGATATACATACATACTAAAATTACATATATAAACGAATAAATATATATGAATAACAAATATACTTACACATACACGAATTTGGGAATAATATAAAGCACTTATATTATACATTTTATGTTATTGAATGTAATTATAAAAATAAAAGTCGAAACCTTGGGTAATATGTATATAAATATATTACGCCGACCCCAAAATTTATATAAATGCGATAAGGGTAGGAAGTTGATCACTGAATGTGATTGAATTTTTTTTTAACAAAAAATCAGAAAAGACCTATGAAATTTTGGAGCCGAACGAAACAAAAATTTGATGTTAGAATTACATAATACCGTCTAAAAATA